ATGCTCAGTGAAATAAGCCAGGCGGAGAAAGACAAGTTCCAAATGATTTCCCTCATTTGTGGAGCATAAGAACAAAGCAAAACTGAAGGAACAAAACAGCAGCAGACTCACAGACTCCAATAAGGGGACTAGTGGTCACCAAAGGGGAGGGGTGGGGGAGGGAGGGTGAAAAGGGAGGGAGAAGGGGATTGTGGGGTATCATGACTGGCACACATGGTGTGGGGGGGTCATGGGGAAGACAATGTAGCTCAGAGAAGTAGTGACTATGGCATCTTACTACACTGATGGACAGTGACTGCAATGGGGTATGGGGGGACTTGATATGGGGGAAATGTAGTAACCACAATGGTTTTCACGTGAAACCTTCGTAAGAGTGTATGTCAATGATACCTTAATTTAAAAAAAAAATCTTGCAGTGGATATACAGTCCTGCCTCCAAGCCACTTGGAGTAACTCTTTTCCCTGTGGTCAGACCATCTGCTGGTAAACAGTTTCCCTACAATTTTTACATGGATGCTTCTCTGCCTAAAAACAAATAACAAATGTTCCCCTCAAAGCACCTTGTAAAGTATAAGAGCCATAGACCCAGATACTTACTTAGACTTACGGCACCCAGCGCCCTGAACAAAGGTGACAATGGGGAGGCTCAGAGGTAAAGGAACGTGGCCGGGCCACCCAGCTGTCGTGTGGCAGCGTCAGGGTAGGGCCTGTGTCAGTGTCTGCCTCGCATGATGTTGACACGGGTGCATTTGCCCTCACAGAATGCGCTCCAGCCCGGAATAAGCTTTTTAAGCTGTGTGTGTCATTAAATCAACTGGTTAGTTTTCTATTTTGTCAATTATATCAATTCAGAACTTTTGACACTTCCATCCTAGATCTTACGGAAGGTCATATATGCTGCAAGCATCCAGTGATAGCCATGGAATCTTCCCTCAGAAAAATATGCATCCCCACAAATATGTGCATCCAATTTCAGGGGTATCCAGGCTCCTATAGTCTGTCTGGAACTTCCAAACAGGTCCATGGACCAGGACTCGACTCTCTGAGTTCAGACTTCTGGATTACATTATCTCCACCAAATTACCGTAGTGCCCTTGACATGTAACAACCACACTGCTCCGAGTTTTGTCTGATTTTCCCGATGCTCTTTTGTGGGAGTGAGGGAGTCAAGAGGTTGCCTGAGCGGAAGAGCAGCCGCCGAGGCTGAGGCTTTGCGGACCCCACAGCCCACGGGGCCCAGCGGCCGGGCACACAGACCAGCCCCCGCCCAGGGCTGGGACTCAGGGCTCTCGGAGGAGGTCTCTCAAAGAAAGCCAGAGCTAGACAGTTGTCAGAGCAGTAAAAATAAGCAGATCTTATTTACGATTACTGCAGCAGGGGAAAAGAGGTTTCAGTATAGGCCTGACCTCAGGCCCGGCATGTGGGGACTTACAGCTGAGGAGCAGGGGGCCACTGGACAGAAAATCTGCAGGAGGAAACATCAGGGGGAGGGGGCCCAGGCCTACAAACCCAACAGGATTCTTGGAGGGTCGTCCCATGAGGGTGGAGGATTCTGGTTAAACCAACTTAGGGTTCTTGCAAAAACTGAATGATGCAGAGACAGCCAGTAGGGTTCAGGGGAGCCTGGGAAGAGACCGGTCAAGGACAGGATCTTTGTCAGACCGCAGATGCTGGCCAAATCTTTTTTTGGCTGAAGTTAATGTCCTTAAAAGTCAGCTCTCCAAAGGATCAAACAATGGACGTGTTTGACAAATGTTGCCAGGGAGCCAGCTGGTGGTTTTTCTATTGAATGGAAAGCCTTAGTTTCTTCTGGATATTTCTGGGAATGCTTGCCCAGTGTTTAGAGATCACCTGCTCTGTGCGGGCCCATGTGGAGCCGGTGGTTAAATGAGTCACCGCCCCCTATTGTTGAAATGCCTGGCTCCTTCTCCCTCTCCTCTGCCTCCCCCCACTGCCCCTTGCCTCCTGAGCTTCTATAAATAACACCCTTTGGAATACCTTGAGCCCACAGGGTTCCTCCTCCCCCAGATTCAGAATTACTTCCTTTGGAACAGGTTCTCAGAAGTGGAATAACCAGGCAAAGGTGTGAGTGGACCAATGCATTTCCTTGATGGGGGGGGCAATCCCCATCTTCAAACCCTTTGTACCCGACTACAGCCACAAGGGCCCACCCCGCCTGCTGGACCGCTCCTTCCCAGTGTCTAACTCCTCCCTCCCACCGCCCACTGCCCCTCCCTCCTAGTTTCTGCAGCCTCTCTCCACCCACCCCTGCATCACAAAAAAATCCAGCACTGAATCAGGCAAGCAGAAGGACAGGCAGATGTGTATCAGTAGATCCGTGCGGGTCTTGGTGACAGTCGGAGTGGGGCTGTGTCCTGTGTTAGAGGCACTGGTTCCTGGACAACAAAGGGGCTGCAGGGCCCTGTCCGAGGGGCTGTTGGCCTGCAAGAGCTCTGGCTGTCCCCTGGCTCCTGAACGTGTCCCCATCACTGCAGTGGGCTGTGCGGTAGAACATGAGTCTCCTGTGAGAGGCAACCTGGGACGTGGCTGAGCTCAAAGGCGCAGTCTTTAGGCTTTGTCCGTGTGGTTTTCCCTTATAAACCACCTTCTCTGGTTACCACGGTAACACACATGCACAGAAAGGAGCAGTGGCCTTTTGCTATGTCTCACACCTCCGTGCTCCGTCTGCGCGCTCTCTCGGCCTGGGTCTCTGCTTGCCTAATACTGTGCCCAGAAAGCCCTCCTCTCCTTTCCCTCAGCGAAGCCCTCAAGGCCAGGCTGGAGCCCCCTTTCCCCACCTCCCCTGTGTCCCAGGACTTGTCATGCTGAGGGTGAGGTCTCCCGGGCACCCTGAGGGCAGGATCGCCTGTGTTGCTCTGGGTCCCCACATCTAGCTCAGACTGCACCCCCCAGTGAGCCCTTGGGAACAAGGGTCAGCTGCACTAGCTGCCCAGCAGCTCACAGTCATCTCTGACCCAGAAGTCACATGCCAGGTGCCCTACAAACTCCCTCTGTTGAGCTCAGGGGGCAGGCAGGGCATGGAGATGAAGCAAGCCCATTACTCTGAAGATGAACCCAGCCCTCGTAAATAAATGAGCCAGAATGCAGGACACCCTGCACCCAGCCAAGCCCCAGCCCTTGCAGCCCCCACCCTGGGCCATCTGCCTCTGTTCCCAGGTAGGCAGTAACCTGCACAGGTGCACTGTGGGACCAGGGCACCAGGGTCAGCTGGCCCTGGGAAAGATGGAACATCCCTGCACGTGTGTGTGTGCGCACGTGTGTGCATGCACACGCCCACACATGCTCAACCTTGGCCAGCCTGAGCCCATTTGGAAACAGCAGGGTATACTGCCTGGAGTGCAGCCAGCCTGGAGGAAGGGGCAGAAGCAGGTGAGGGGGAAAAGGACACTCAGCAGGCAGCTGCCAACCCAGGCAGGCTCCCGGCTGCCCCATAAATAACCGCAGGCCAGAGAGAGGGCCACGCAGAGGCAGGCACACAGCATGGGGCGCCTGGAGCTGGTCTTGAGCCTTACCTGCTTCTTGGCGGCAGCAAGTGCGGCCCAGGTAAGGGAAAGCCCAGCAGAGGGGTGGGGGCTAGGGCAGAGGCCCCTAAACCAGGTCCAGGAACTGGAGGGACAGGACCTAGCCAAGGAAGACAGACAGACAGACAGAGTCACCAGTAGAGAGAGCCAGCCTGAGACAGGGAACCTAACAACAGTCAAAACAGCATGTCTGGGTACCCATTCTGTGTGCTGGGCATTTTCTCATCATATGATGACTAAGGCTGCCAGATAAAACAGTGCCCAGTTAAATCTGATTTCATAGAAAGCATGAATAATTTTTGATGTAAGTATATCCCATGCAATATTTGGGACATACCAACACTAAGAAAAATTCATTGTTTATTTGAAATCCAAATGTAACTGGGCATCCTCAAGCACTTGTGGAGTCTGGCAACCTGACCTATAACACCCCCCTAGCTCCTTCCTCTCACCAGAGATGTAGATGTTGTCCCCTTTACACAGAAGAGGAGATGGGCCCAGAGCAGACAAGCAATTTGGCCAACATCACACAGCCACCAGTGGCTGAACAGAAATCTGGAGCCCAGTCTAGTCCAACCCCAGGGTCTGGCTCCCAACCTAGCCTCCATGGGCCATGAGAGGAGTCAACGCCCACCTGCACAGGAGTGGCAGGTCCCCCTCCAGGGTGGGGGAGTCAGGAGGCCTCCTGGGGTGTCTATAACATCTACCCTCCCTAACAAGGCGGGGTAAGTGCCTCCAGGACAGAAGCCCTGACCACCCGCACAAGCTGGAGTAGGGCCCTGGGCCCCCTGCCACGCAGCCCCCCACACGCTGCCGCTCCACCCCTCATCCTGCTCTCTCAGCCCTGCCCTTCACACCCCTGCTACCCCTGGAGGTTCAGGCACGGGTACTGGGCCCCTTCTGCGCCCTGAGAGGAGGATACGCTCTTTCGCCAGAGGAGTCTTTTCTGGGAGCTGAAGGACAGGGTTTCCTCTGTGCTCCTCCAGCAGGCAGTACCACCCCTGCCCACGCTGCCAGGATGGCCAGGGTCCCCGTGCCCTCCCCCCACCCCTGAGGCCAATCTCATCACACAGAGACACTTCTGAGAGGTGACTTCCTAGTCCCCCAGGCGCTGACCCGGCTGGCCCTCTGCCCCCTCCCAGCAGCCTGGAGGCTGATCAGGAAAAATGCCTGGAGACCTAAAACAAGGAGGCTGGCTCACCCTGGATGAGAG